CCATCACCAAGAAACCAGCTCCATATAGTTAGATTACGTTACTTATATTCTCTAACTCTTTGCTTTCTCTACTTTATGACCATGAACCTGCAGTTTCTAAAAGTACATTTGTAGTTAAAATTAACAATATAGGTTTCCACATTTCTAGTTTCACACGAATGCTTTGTTATGTCTAGAAGAGCAATAGTTTCCTTTTTTATGGTGCAGGCTCTGCTTCTTCAAAGCTCTTTTCACAAAGCAGACCTCCCCCCGCCCCACCCCTGCCCCCAAAGAATCCAGCTGTGGCTGTTAATCTCGGCCAATAGAGAAACTTCTCAATACTACAGATTCTTAACCTGTAAAACACTGTTAATAACAGAATACACTTTATTATACTACTGTTTCTGATCCAACTAACTTCAGGATTTTCCCCAAACATATCCCAAAAGCAGTCCCAATTTTTCTAAATTATAGTTTGCTATTTGAGGAGTAAGAGGATCAGAGAAAAAAATCAGAAAAAAAATGCCTCTAATTTTCACAAGATGAGCAAGTTAGACAATCTTTGCCATGCATAAGAATTTACACTGAATAATTTTTCATTAAATTGCACATATTTCCCCACCTCACTGGGATCTTGCTTAGCAATTCACACTTTTTCATCCAAACACAAGTAAAATGAATTTCCAGTAAAGCTGAACTTTGACAATAAGGATGTCCTTCATTTGTTACATTCTGAGAAGAAAAAATTAATTTCCTTCCCAGTATGTAAATCCATAGTTCTTTCTAAAACAGTGCAAATGATCTGACTAGAACACCTACCAAGTCCATACAAACATGTATATGATACATTTTTATGTGTTTGTTTTTTAATTAATTGAGGCAATAGGACATAATACTTTCTCCCTGATGCTAAATTCAACCTTCCTTATCTCCCTGGCATATAGCACAACTAAGTGGACACTCTATGATATTTGAAGTCATGCCTCCTAAAATAGTCTGCATGTTGATTTCACCTAGTAAATCTGACCATATATGAAACCACTTCTATGCACATTAATCAACCATTTGATTTTTCTACCAATAATAAGTACAATAAAACAGCTAACCTGTATTGCATGCTTACTGTGTGCTAGACTGTGTACTCATTGGTTTACAAGGATTACCTCATTTAATCCTCACACCAATCCTATGAGATAGGTGCTATTATTATTCTCATTTTAAAGATGAGGAATAAAAAGGTTAAAAATTTATCAAGATCACACCTCTAGTAACTAAGCATCATTATAGTGATGCTTAAGTTTTGAAAGATTTAAATAAAGCCTGCTGAAGGTATTGGAATAAAATTAAAAGTTCTCCAACTTTACTTGGAGTACAAAGGCACCAGACCAAATGAACTCCAGGATCTTTATCTTTCAATTAATCATATTTGTAAAAAACCAAAACACTAATTTTATAAAGTGGAAACTTTACCCAGACTCACTTTTACATTCTGAGAAGAAAAAATTAATTTCCTTTCCAGTATGTAAATCCATAATACTTTCTAAAACAGTGTAAATGATCTGACTAGAACACCTACCAAGTCCATACAAACATGTATATGATACATTTATGTACATACATAAAATATGTACCATTAATTCGATCTATGATATTTCAGATGGTCAATGCCAAAACTGCCTGGGTGTAGCAGTCTTCGAACCTCTCTCACGTGGTAAACTTCCTCCAGTTCTTAAAAGTAAACACCTAAGATCCTGAAGCCTTATACTGTAATACTCTGTCCCAGAGTTGTCAGATCTTTAAGCACAACATACTCACTGTCCACTGGCGAAGATGAACTACAGACAAAACACTATTTATAATATCCTCACCCAATGGCTAAGGTCTCTGTTTGTGAGTTGTTTTGTGTTTTGGTTTTGCATTATGAAAATGACCATATGGCCATTTAGAAGCCTTGATATCTGATAAAGAAGGTCAAATTATATATATCATGCTTTGATAACTCATGAACAATATTCTATCATTTGCAATGAATGTATCTCAGGCTACCACATGATCATATTACCAGGTAAACTGGAACCCTTACTGAGATAAAATACAGCAGACAGTTGTTAATGAAACCTTAATTGAACTGTCAAAGCACCATCTTTACCAGCAAGCCAATAGGTAATTCACTACTTTTACACAACTGTCCAATAGTGATGTTATTCCAGTAGTTAAATTCAGCAGAGAGAGACATCAAGCCCAGCAGACTAAATTGTTCAGTGATAAATTTGAATGGTAAAATGCTTTATCATTTCTACAAATATCTTCCCTTGTCTACATAGAGGAACAACGATATCCCTCAAAATTACATGCAATGTTTTTAGCCATCAGTTAGTACCACTGGGTGCTTGTCCAGAAAACGACATGAGAGCAGATATAAAGTTTCCTTTCCTATGATATGTCAGAAGAAAAATACTTGCAAAATGCATTAAGTATATTTAAATCTAAGTGACTCTTATAATGCCCAGCAGGCATACAGTGCTTTGAATCTAATGATGTATTATTGGGAAATTATTTTTATGTTCCATTTAAATCATTTTAGAAAACAGTTATTTCTACCAGGTGCTTTCTAAATTAAAAAGAAAATTTCTGGTTGAGTTGGTCAAAAGGTAAAAAACATCACTAATATCTTTAGTTTGGGTTTCAGAATGCAAGTGCAATTCACTGTGGTTTGGTGTTCAAATCTCTAGTTTTAATAATCTTACTCAGTTCATATAGCAGTTAAATTCCAAATACAATAAGCAATTCAGACAGCAAGTCATCAATATGTAAATATAAAAATAGAAAAGTATTTGCATACTAAAACACACACCTGGAACTCTTCTCTCTTTTTCATACCAAATTGTATTTCACCTGTAATAGCTGATAAAAATGCTCAATGCAGCTAACTAGAAAAACCTGGCTAAAGGACAAAGAAGGACCTGACCAGATCAAGTAACCAAGCAGCAAGGATGCCACAGCACTGTGTTAAGTACTGGAAAGAAAAAGCAGTACTCTCGTAGACCACAGTCTACTAGAATGGAGACATTTACAGTCCTTACCCTCAGGGAGCTTACAAATGTGGTCAGCAAGAGAGGCAAACTCAAAACAACTGGTGTACTACAAGAGAAGATGGTGCATAGGAGGTACTTCGAGTATATGGAACAAACTCCATAGGTGGTAGAAGGGGTCAATCAATGAAAGAATCTAGAATGAATTCAAATCAAACGCATTCAGATTTTCATATATCAGTAATTCAGAACATCCACTACCAGAATGTTCACTGTAGATGTTTCAGCACTCCAGTTCTCCACCTCCCTCTTTAAAAAAAAGAAAAAGTTTTCTCTTAACACAAAGTTTAAGTTAAAACTTCCACAAGTCACATCATCATTTGAAAAAAAATGTAAGTAACACCTTTAGAGTATAGTCAAGAATGCTGCAACCCATTTCCCTGTCAATATTTCTAGTTCTAAAAAAGCAAAGAGGCAAAGCACTTAAATGAAGGAGCATCCAGGTCTAAGAAAATCCACTCAAATTCTCAATAAATCAGTGACAAAATTTAAAGCAAGGAACAACCTTTTTCCTGTCAACGCTCACCCAACTCCCCTTAGCCACCCCCAAGCTTTGAAACCCTCAGGGTCAGGCAAGGAATGGAAGTTCACCAGTGTAAACGCTAAGGACAGGATATGGAAGGGAAGAGAGGAAGGCAGGAACAAGCAGGTCCCTGAGCGGAGCAACTGAAGATGCATCATTGCTGGCTATACTTTCCCACCAAGAACTTCACACATCTTGGAGAAGGGAGCACTATAGCAGCAACCTCCTGGAAGAACTAGCCTAGATTATAAAATCTGAAATGTATACCAAGATGGCCATATATAATGCAAAAGTAATACTTATCTATTATAACCTGAAAAACAATGACAAATGGAGATATTTACCAGACTAGTTCCAAAGAATTCATTCATTTTCCTGTGGTGATGGGGGCTTTTCTAGACATTAACAGGAAATCCATTTTTGAATGCACTCAAAACATCAATTCATCTACCCACACCAGAATACTTAATCCTTTGTGAAAAAAACTCAGTTCACTCTAGTTTTGATGGGAATAGAATCCTACAATGATAAATACATCTTATTATACACTACTAATCTTCCTAGGAAGGGAAACTAGACAAAATGTTGCATTTAATGTTGCCCTTAGACTTTAAAAATTTTGTAACACTAGCAAAAGTAGAATCATTTCAAATGTTTAAAAAGTATACTTCCTACTTCAGCAACCAACCAAGGGATAGCAGCAACTTAAGAGACACTAAATGATACTAAAACATTACACCGAATGTGGGCCACTGCATAGCTACAGACTACTGACCTCATTTGTGGTACTCATGTGTGATGCTATATTTAATACATTCTTTTCAAAAGGCTAAAGCTACATACTTCCCAATTATAACTTTATGGTTTAAAATAAACCACTCAAGAAATGACTTAATTGGTTCAACTATGAACCCTATCTTCTTTCACAAATTAAGGACTGAAAAGACAGAAGGGATAGCACAATAGTTATGCAAAGTATATCTCAATGACAAGAAGATTAAAAAGAATCAAGTTTGGGTCAGTTGTGACATTTGCTGCAAGTGGGCAACTGATGCCAACTAAAACATAAGAGATGACTAAGATCTTGTAGGAATAAGTGTTTCTTTCACACATTTATCTATCCTATAGTCAGTGGTTTGCTTAGGTTCTAGACCAAAAAGTTTAGTAGACAGCAAACTTATGTGTGTTACTCAGAGGATTCTCCACCAAAATTTGTCAGGACTCAAAAGCCTAAGCCTACATAGCCAATGTATTAGGCCTCTTTATCATGTAAGTAAGGGTGTCGTCCCACAGTTGAGTGGAGAAGCTTTCCCCACTTTGGTCAACATGGAGAAAACCATGAGATGACTCGCCCAATCACAACCATGAGAAGAAACCAGAAGTTGTGTTTTGCTTTTGATACTCACCAGACAACACCAAAGGCTCCATATCCAATAGGTCTATCTGGCTCAATATCCAGCTGCTGTTGTGGATGATGCGAGTGCTGATGATGGTGCGCCTTAACTGTAGCAGCTGCGGCAGCCTGTACCTGAGCTGGGGCTGCTGCAGCTGGTCCAGGAGCCTGACCCGGTGCCGGTGATGGGAAATATGGCTGTTGTTGCCCAGGGTTTAACATGGCTGCAGCTGCGGCCGCTGCTGCGGCTGCCGCAGCTGCCGAAGAGGTATGCTGCTGTACAGGGTGTACGGCAGCAGCCGACCCGGGATGAAGATGGTGTTGAGGGTGGTGGTGGTGGTGAAGGTGAGGAGGAGGGAGGTGTGGAAGGTGGTGGTGATGGTGGTGGTGGTGACCTGCTGCTGCTGCAGATGTACCGCCATTGTAAGCCGCCATCATTTTTGCGTTGGCTCTTGCGCCACAAAGAGACATTCAAAAAAAAATGCTCTTTGATTGGAAAGCAAACTAGGTCAAGCTGTCATTTGGCCATTTAAAAATGAAGAAAAACCACTCACTCCACCTCCAAAAACATGGAGCGTAACTGGCTTTATGTCTTCATCAGTCAATCCAAACAAGTTAGAGGATCTTGGTGTTTAAATTTGGGGTGTGCGTGTGTGGAAGGGTGTGGGTTGCCAAAAAAATAAAACGAAAAAGAAAAAGGAAAAGGAAAAAGGGACCCCTTCCCCCCAGGTTTCCTGCCACAAGTGATTACTAAAACTCCATCCTTAATTTGGGGGAGGTTCCAACTTTGAATGTGGGAATAAAGGCCAAACCTCCCGACCCCCTGAACTCCAGACACGAAAAGGATCAGGTAACACACCACCCTTGGAATCTTGTAAGAGGGTTGACTCATCTACCCCTTCCATTCCCACATCCTTTTCTAAACACTACCACCTCCTCAAAAATACAATTTAAAAAAATTCCAACCAACCCAAATTAAAAAGATGGGGGGAAATTTTCTGGGAAACCGGCTCCCCCCACTCGAACTCTCAGGCCTCCCTACATCTCCCCCTACTCCTGCTCAGGTTGACCTGATTGGAAGTGGGGGGGAGGGGGGGCGGTTGAGTACTAAACTTTCCCGAACAGAAAAGAGCCAGGGAAGGAGGCAGGAGCGACAGAGCGAGCAGAGGAGGAGACAGGGCAGGACAGAGAGGAGAAAGAGAACCAGGGCAAAGTGAAGGTAAGGAGGTACAGGGAGGAATGAAAGAGAGGTGGGCAGCACTCGGACGGTCAGACAGAGGGAACCGCCCTGGGATGAGGTTAGGATCCCGGGGCCAAAAAATAGCAGCCCCGGGAGGAGGGCGGGGTGCAGTCGGAACCGGGCTGACTCCTACCCCCGCCGCCGGCTGCTTCTGCTAGAAGGGTTGGGGGGGAGAGCGGGTGGGTCCCCCCTGCACGACGGCCCCCGCAGGGCTCAAGGCTGCTCCGTCTCCCCCCCTCCCCCCCACCCAGCTTCCGTCCTCGCGGCCGCTTTCTCCTCAGTCGCTGCAGCCGCTTTCTCTTCAGCCGCCGCCTCCTCAGGCGCCGGTGCCGCCGCGGCCGGACTCACCTCCCCTAGCAAAGCCGGATAGAGCGGAGCCAGCGGCGGACACGCGCAACCAGCCGCCGAGGCCCCGCCCCCGCCTCACACTAACCGGCTGCCCTAGCCAATCCACGCCCACCTGTCTGCATCCGCCTCCAATCCTGTACCGGGAGCTTCAGACAGGCGCACTGTTCGGCCAGTGGCGACAAGGTGTGGGTCTCTTGGGGAAATCCCGCCCCTGATCCGGGATGGGCAGACAAAAAGACCAATCAAAAGGCAGAGTTTGGCCTGACCGACAAGGCTAAAAGCAAATTAAAAACCAAAGATCTCCGTGACATTTTCTTTCGCCCCTCTCCTCTTTTCTTTTTCTTCTTTTATTTTTTTGGCAGGAGCAGGAAGCTGCGTGGTAATCCCGCCTGCAAGAGCTGGAAGAGAGGGTGGAATGAAAGAACCAATCATGAGCCGGAAGCCTAGACCAGAGCAACCAATCCTTGGCTTGAAGATGAAATGGGCTGGGATTGTGGCTAGATAGACACTTGGTTTGACAAATGGAAAAAAAGATTGATCGCAGGCCCACCCTTTAGATCTCCAATAGGTCAGGATTTAGAGAATTCGCTGTCATATCAGCGACGACCTCTTCAGGGGGCAGACCCAAGTGAAGGGGGCAGACCCAAGTAAAGGGGGCGTGGCCCAAAGAAAGGGGCGGGACCTAGACTACGAAGGCGGAGTCCAAATCTCTCGTCCAATGACTGAAGCCTTCTTCTATCCCTTTTAAAGGCATAAGGTGTGAAGAGCTAGGAGGAGCTAAAAGGGATGTCGAGCTTTAGAGACTCGAGGTCCAAGGTTACTCAACGCCACAGTCACAGAAGAAACTCAGAAGAAACTCAGAAGAAACTACCAGTCCTCCGTGGCTAATCCTGATCTTGGCAATAAGAAGAGTTATCTCCAGCATTCACAGCTCCACCCTTGATGTAAGGCTGTTGATACAAATAAAAATTAAAACAACAAAAATAATAAACTTAACCACAATGATCGTAATTTTCTCCCATATTTTTTAGTTAATAAGTTCTAGTCATTGAAACCTTACTAAAGAAATATCTTTCACTTTTATATAACCTCACTTATCTGAATTTTCTCTTAAAATATGAGATAATAAGCTAGCAGAAACTATTTTACTAAAAGTGTGCACACTCAGAACCTTGGAGATCATTTCTGATTCCTCTGTTGCCTGCCTACTCCTTCTCTTCTAATTGATCATCAAGTTTTAAACACTTTTAAACACTTCTAACACCCTCCTCCCCAGTCACCACGGTATTATCCAAATTTTCACCACTAGCACCTTTAACACATATTCCTGCTTGCAAACAAGCTCTTCTGTAATCCATCCTCCACTGAGTTGGACCTTTTAAAAATACAAGTTGGACCATGTCCTTACACTTGATTAAAGTCAGTAAGTCTAAATAGTCCAGCAACTATCTGGTTCCCTCCTTCCCCAAGGGCCTTATCTCTCACCTCCACTTCTTTACGTCAGACATTCTAAACTTTCAGTCCTTCAAATGGTTTGTTGCCTCTAAGCCTTC